AACAGTTTCTGAGGGTTTGTGAAGAACGCGGGTTTTCCAAACTGTGAATGTGTGCGCGGGCGCGTGTTTGTTTGTCTGTTGTCTGTTTTTGTTTATTTGTTTTGAGAAAAGCCTTAGAGCAAACCGGGGAAATCTGACTGACAGAATAAGACAGGTGAAAAACGTTAATGAGTGTCTGCAGAGTCACACCTGCTGTAGTCCAGAGACCAAAAATGAACCAAACCAAAACACCAAGTTTTTGTTTTAAAATAAAATTACTGCCCCCCCACACATACACCATGTAATTTGTAGGAAACAGCAGCCTCCATGGCTATTGTGATTTTTTTAAACTTTAAGAATAAAAGATAAATGCATTACTAACTGGAAGAATTCATTATAATATTAATGATGCTAAGGATGTCTGTTTTGATGGTTGTGTTTACAGGTGTGTCAAGACCAGAAAATTACTTACCTTTTGATGTAGAATTAATTTAAAAATATCAATAAGATATCTTTCTAAACTTGTCTAATTAACCGGGTGTGGTGACACAAACTTGTAATCCCAGCTCTCAAGACTAGGCAGGGGAGGACACAGGAAAATCAGGAGTTTAAGGCCACCCTCAACTACATAGTAAGGGAAAAGTCTGCCTGGGCTACAGAAGACCCTACCTCAAGAAGCAAAAGCAACCCCTCCAGTTGCTCCCACAAAGAAAGAAAAAACTTAGTAAAGTGACAAGTGATTCTGTGTTTTCCACGCTTTGCCTCTCTTCCTTCATAAATCTCGGCATTTCATATGAAAATGAGAAAGTCTCAATATCAACAATAAAAGTCACCGCCAACTTAAATAATACTGCATAATCATGAATTTCTTATTTGACAACAGGAAGTTACCGCTGTTATTTATCTTAAAGAAACAGTGTGTCTAGATAAATGTTCGGGGGGGGGGTGTAAATTATACTTTTTGAAAACTAGAGTGCCCCCACCTGCTTTTAATAGATAGTTGTTGAGAAAGCGATTTAATCATTGTGTTGATATTTACTGGTACCTGAAAAGAAATGGGGGGTGTAGGAGAGGCACATTCCATTTTGATTCAGTGTTTCCTTTAATTGTATTTTAAAAGGGAGTTGGATTTTAGTTAAAACACATAGGGGCAACCCTTCTGGAGCTTCCAGGAGCAGAACCCTGGCCAGCAGTCCAGTCATCTGGGTGAAATGGCAGTCATACAGAACAGCCCGAATTCAAAATGCTTTTAAAAACATCTATTTTTGTTTCGTGAAGAAAAAGATAAGTAAATGTTGCTCTGGAAACTGAGTTGAGTGCTGTTGGAATACATGAAACTGCACACCTATGTCTCTAGTCTGCTGCTGGAGCCACGGAACATCCTGAACATTGTAAGTATTTCAACAAGATTTGCAGCAGTGGATTTGGGCTCCCTTTAATCAATGTTGAAGCATCAGTATAGAGCTATTGAAAATCTACTGTTTCTAAAAACTTGTACCTCTTTCTGGTGACCAATATTAAAAACACAAGATTGCATTACATTCCCAGGTCACAAAATACCTTTTAAAAAAAGGTTAATCGTGATTGAGCTGCTTATGAAAACTATTTGGAATTTTTAGAAATTCTTCTAAAGTAGATTGTAAAATTATGATTTAAGGAACTTGAGTCCAAATTTTTGGAGGGATTGAAGTAGAATATAAATAAATCATAACTAATTTTGATACTTGGGGGTAAGATCTAAAATGTAAGAGTGATCGGTCTCTGATTCCACATCGTGGTGTCTAAAGAGCTTATAAAATATTTTTAGTGTACAAATATTCTTATGTATGTTTAAAGCTCTGAATGCTTCTAAGATACACCATCATCTGTCACCGCTACTTCAAATAGGGATCATATTTTCTTTTTAAAATTTATTTTAAATTTTTTCCTGTGAAATATACATATGAACGAAATTATAAAACAGATTTTTACACTTTAAAAAATAATGAAATATACATGGTGTTACAAGTTTTTAACAAATGCTTTGAAAAGTAGACTTACAGTGAGTTACAATGTCAGTATTTAAACTCAATG